TCACAGGGACCTCCCAAGCCCCGGCCTCCTTCAGCACAGCCAGAACCTCTACTTCCCAACACTCACAACCTTTCTCGCCAACTCACCACCAAGCCCCCTCATCTTCAGCCACCACCATCACCCCCAGACTCACCACACTCCCAACTGGGGAACACGGGGTCCACACCACCACGGGCACCAACAATGGTCCACACACACCCCACACTACACTCCCCCTATCCACTGCCACAGTCTCCTCCACTCCACACTCCACGGGGCCTCCCACGGGAACCTCCTTCAGGACCACCAGCTCCCACCCCACACCTCCAAACCCCCAGACCACACTCCCCACTCACACTCCACCTCTGTCCACCTCCAGTGTCACCCCTACGTCTCACCAAGGCAGCACCACAGCCCACTCACACACACCCACGTCCACCTCCACCCCAGGCTCAACGGCCACCACGCCTCCAACAACATCTCTGAAGGCCACGGGGCCCACCCACACGCCCAAACCATTCACAGGGACATCCGAAGTCCCGGCCTCCTTCAGCACAGCCAGAACCTCCACCTCTCAGGACTCACAACCATTCTCCCCAACTCACCACCAAGCCACCTCATCTTCGGCTACCACCATCACCCCCAGATTCACCACCATCACCCCAAAACTGACCACACTCCCAACCGGGGTCCCCGGGGTCCACACCACCACGGGAACCAACACCGGTCCACAAACGGCCCGAACCACACACTCCCCACCCACCGCCCCAGTCTCCTCCACTCCACACTCCACGGGGCCTCCAACGGGAACATCCTTCAGGACCACCAGCTCCCACCCCACACCTCCAAACCCCCAGACCACACTCCCCACTCACACTCCACCTCTGTCCACCTCCTCCGTCACTCCTACGTCTCACCAAAGCAGCACCACAGCCCACTCACACACACCCACGTCCACCTCCACCCCAGGCTCAACGGCCACCACGCTTCCAACAACATCTCTGAAGGCCACGGGGCCCACCCACACGCCCACACCATTCACAGGGACCTCCCAAGCCCCGGCCTCCTTCAGCACAGCCAGAACCTCTACTTCCCAACACTCACAACCTTTCTCGCCAACTCACCACCAAGCCACCTCATCTTCGGCTACCACCATCACACCCAGATTCACCACCATCACCCCAAAACTGACCACACTCCCAACCCGGGTCCCCGGGGTCCACACTACCATGGGTACCAACACAGGTCCACAAACGCCCCGAACAACACACTCCCCACCCACCGCCCCAGTCTCCTCCACTCCACACTCCACGGGGCCTCCCATAAACACCTCCTTTAAGACCACCAGCTCCATTCACACACCTCCAAACCCCCAGACCACACTCCCCACTCACACTCCACGCTTGTCCACTCCCTCCGTCACTCCTACGTCTCACCCAGGCAGCACCACAGCCCACTCACACACACCCACTTCCACCTCCACCCCAGGATCATCGGCTACCAGACCTCCAACAACATCTCTGGAGGCCCCGGGGCCCACCAACACGCCCACACCATTCACAGGGACCTCCCAAGCCCCGGCCTCCTTCAGCACAGCCAGAACCTCTACTTCCCAACACTCACAACCGTTCTCCCCAACCCACCACCAAGCCACCTCATCTTCGGCTACCACCATCACCCCCAGACTCACCACCATCACCCCAAAACTGACCACACTCCCAACCGGGGTCCCCGGGGTCCACACCACCACGGGAACCAACACTGGTCCACAAACGCCCCGAACCACACACTCCCCACCCACCGCCCCAGTCTCCTCCACTCCACACTCCACGGGGCCTCCCACGGGAAATTCCTTCAAGACCACCAGCTCCCACCCCACACCTCCAAACCCCCAGACCACACTCCCCACTCACACTCCACGCTTGTCCACTCCCTCCGTCACTCCTACGTCTCACCCAGGCAGCACCACAGCCCACTCACACACACCCACGTCCACCTCCACCCCAGGATCATCGGCTACGACGCCTCCAACAACATCTCTGGAGGCCCCGGGGCCCACCCACACGCCCACACCATTCACAGGGACCTCCCAGGCCCCGGCCTCCTTCAGCACAGCCAGAACCTCCACCTCTCAGCACTCACAACCTTTCTCGCCAACCCACCACCCAGCCACCTCATCTTCAGCCACCACCATCACCCCCAGACTCACCACACTCCCAACTGGGGAACACGGGGTCCACACCACCACGGGCACCAACAATGGTACACACACACCCCACACTACACTCCCCCTATCCACCGCCCCAGTCTCCTCCACTCCACACTCCACGGGGCCTCCCACGGGAACCTCCTTCAAAACCACCAACTTCCACCCCACACCTCCCAACCCCCAGACCACACTCCCCACTCACACTCCACCTCTGTCCACCTCCTCCGTCACTCCTACGTCTCACCAAAGCAGCACCACAGCCCACTCACACACACCCACGTCCACCTCCACTCCAGGCTCAACGGCCACCACGCCTCCAACAACGTCTCTGGAGGGCACGGGGCCCTCCCACACGCCCACACCATTCACAGGGACCTCCCAAGCCCCGGCCTCCTTCAGCACAGAAAGAACCTCTACTTCCCCGTCTCTCATCTCAATTCCTTCCCCTTCGCAGCCACAGAACTCTAGCTGGCACCCTCCCTTTTCACCTTCTCCTTCCCCTGGTGCTCCGCTCCCCAGTGTTGCCACCACTGCTGTTTCCCCAGCAAATCCTTCCCACTCCTCTCCACTGTCTCCCAGGACCAGCGCCCCGACCCTTGTGCCAACCAGCGGCTCGACCCTGTCTTCTGTGTCTCCTCAGGCCTCCTCCCCCCACCTTGCCACCTGGACATCCTCCATGTCTGCCGGCACATCCTCCTCCGCCATGTCTGCTCCTGTGAACACGCTCACTCTGAGCTCCAGCTCCCACGCCCCACTCTCCACCGTGTCCCTTACTACATCTAAATCTACTTCTACTTCCCGCCTCCCTTCCTCCCATTCTGCCTCCACTGCTGCGAGGTCCTCCCCCTTGCCTGCTAGCACCCTCACTTTCACCCCCTCTGCTCCGTCCTTCATGCCCACCCTGCCCGTGTCTCCCACAGAGTCCCACCGCCCAGCTTCCAACATCACTGGTTTTCCTTCCACGCCCGGGACCACGGCCCACACCTTCACTTCCTCCACCCCCTCCTCTCAGGCCACGACCTTGCGTTTCACCTCTCTCTCCACCGAGGTCCCCACGACAGGCTCCCTGTCTTCCACCTTGGGCTTGACCGTAACCCCGAGTCCTCCAGCCACATCCTTCACCACCAGGCACCCCAGCCCCACCCAGCTGCCCACGTCCACGCTCACAACCGGCTCCTTCCCTCCGCAAGGCAGCACATCTGCCCCTGCCTCCTCCTCTCCTGGGGTCACTCCTCCACCCAGCACATCTGGTAAGTGTCATCTCTGCCGCCCATCCCGCGGGCTTGGTGCCTGGCCTCCCCCTGGCCTCGGCTCTGCATGCCTCACCTGCAGGTAGGGCCGGCCTCGGCGTGGCCCCCATGATCCCATGCTGCCCACGTCTGCAGGCCCGTCTCGGGCCTCCTTGACGTAGCTGCAGGTCCTTTCTCCTCTGGTCTTCGGGGACCCCTGCAAACAGGCACTGGCCACCCAGCTGAGCTCCTCCCCTTTGGGCCTTGATCTTTTTCCTGCACTGGCTCACTTGTGCCCCCATCCCCACTGCAGTCCTGGCCCCCCCAGGGACCTTCCACAGTCCCCCTTTCAGCACTCAGAGGACGTAAAGGCTGGCGGGGCCCTGGGGCTCCAGCAGTGCAGCCCCCGGGTGCCGAGAGGGGGAGGAGCTTAGTGCACCTGGCGCCTCTCGCAGCTGACCTGCTGCACGCAGGGCTGGGCCTGGTGAGCAGGGCTCGCTCTCTGGGCAGGGGCTGTCCCCAGGTATCGTGGCCGCAGCTCCTCTCGGCTTCCTTGTGCCCTCCTGCCCGTGAGCAAGTCCACTGCACCCAGGTCATGGGCTCCCTGGAGACAGAGCACAACCTCAGGCCTTGCCTCAGTGGCAGCAGCTGCCCAAAGCCACCCTGTGTTCCTCCCACGGCATCCACTCAGGGACCGGCTCCCCTCGCATGCCTAGGCCTCACCCAGGCAGGACGTCCCTGCAACACCACTGCCAGCTGAGCAGTGTCCCCTGCGGGTGACAGCTCACCTGTGCAGGCTGACGGAGGCTTAGCTTGGGTTCCTCCAAGACAAGGACTTGGGTGTAGGCTGTTTCTGGGGAGGTGGCCCCAGGAAGCAGAGGTGAGGGCACGGGTGGCCAGGAGGAGAGGACCACTGAGGCAACAGGGCCCCACCTTCCAGAGAAACCCTCACAGAGAAGTGGGGTGGGCAACCTCCCTTCTCTGCCACCGAGCAGTGAACTTGGGTACAGCCAGGGAAGGGCAGACCGGCAGAATCTCTCTGTCCAGGCATCTTTCTTAACTTTCTAACACAACTTCTACATTGGCAGTGTTTTTTTTATTTTCTTTTTGTTTTTCTTGGGACAAGGTCTCACTCTGTTGCCCAGGCTGGAGTGCAGTGGTGTCATCACAGCTCACTGCAACCTCCACCTCCTGGCCTAAAGCGATCTTGCCTCAGCCTCCTGAGTAGCTGGGACTGCAGGCGTGTGCCACCACACCTGGCTAATTTTTCTATTTTATGTAGAGACAGGGTCTCACTTTGTTGCCCAGGCTGGTCTTGAACTACTGGGCTCAAGCGATCCTCCTGCTTCACCCTCCCAAAGTGCTGGGATTATAGGCGTGAGCCACCATGCCCAGCCCACACTGGCAGTTTCTAACGCCAGAATTGCCACTGTCTACCCAGCTGCGTACTGCCCATGTAGTACCAACACTGTCTATCGTGGCCATTCTGCACCGCACCCCCCCCCCCGCCTCTTCCCGAGCCTAGACCAAAGGACATGGTCTGCTTCTGTCCTTCCCTGTCTGGGGTACAGGGAGCTCCTGGGGCACCGCCTGCCCCCTTTGGGGACACTGACACCCTGTCCTCACCTCCGTGGGTCCTGGGTCCAGCAGACTGAAGACACCCGTGCCCACGGGGCAGAGTCCAGGCCCAGGAAGGGGCTCAGGGGACCAGGACAGCTCAGCCAGCCCAGCACTCAGCACCTGGCGTCCTCTGAGAGATCCTCAGCCTCAAGGGACTCCAGTGCAGCGACTGTGAGGAAAAAAACACAAACTGAGCAACAGTCAGGCTTTGCTCCTGTGCAGAGCTGAGGACTGAGCTCGGTGGGAAGCCGAAAGGGTAGAAGTCGGGCAGGACAGTGTCCAGAGGCAGGCGGAGACCCCAGTCTCCAGCTCGCCTGTGTGCCCCGGGCACCTCTGACCGGCCTCTCTGCTCCCAGGGGCCTGCAGCGTGTGGGAACACCAGGAGGAGATCACATACAAGGGGTGCACAGCGAACGTGACCATGACCCGCTGCGAGGGCGTCTGTGCTTCCTCTGCCAGGTGAGCCCACCGGCTGGAGGCCTGCCTGCGTGCGGGCCGGGCCCGAGATAGCGCCCACCGTGGGTCCCCAAGGTGCCCAGTAGTGGAGCCCCCAGCCTCGCTCCCAGCCCAGCATGTGCCGCCCCCCGTCAGGTTGGCCACTCTGCACCCTGTCTGCCACACGCCTGCCGGCTGCGGAGGTCCTCACCTGGGGACCTGGCGTCCACCCCCCCCAAGAGCTGGCCCAGGGAGGGGGCCCTTCTGGGAGCGGGCTCCCCCGAGGCAGCCCTGACCCCAACCCCTGCCCCGCCCTGGCTTCTTGGCAGCTTCAACATCGACACCCAGCAGGTGGACGTCCAATGCAGCTGCTGTCACCCGCTTGGCTCCTATGAGCGGCAGCTCGAGCTGCCCTGCCTGGACCCCAGCGCACCCGGCCGGCAGCTTGTGCTCACCCTGCAGGTGTTCAGCAGCTGTGGGTGCGGCCCCCAGCGCTGCAGGGACTAGCAGGGACGCCGCTCGCTCTCCTGGGTGTGCAGGGCTGTGGGTTGAAAACAAGGACAAACACCGCCACCTCCCAGGCTTGTGCTGGCAGCCCCTCTCCTGGTCACAAAGTGCAGCCTTGGAAGAAGGGCCCTCGGACACGGCCTGCCTTGGCAGGAGGGTTTCTAGGCAGAGGCTGGAACCAGCCACGCTCCTGCAGACTCTGACCCAGCAGGCCAGGACGGGGCACACAGGGCACTCCTGGCCACACCCGCCCACCGTCCAATTACCTCCCAGCCTCTGCTGGCAGCCACCCAACCCCACCGGGACCAGCCCCCCTCAAGGAACCCCTGGAGCAGACCCTGAGGCAGATCAGGCGGGTGTGGAGGTGGCCCAGGCAGGGACAGGAGGGGCAAGAGGCTCAGGTACGCCCCGCACAGAGAAGAGGGGCTCCTCAGAGCCAGGCAGGGGCTGCTGCAAGCACCCAGGAGGAGACCAGGGCCGCCCACAAAGATTACAAATAAACAGGTTCTCGTCAAGGCAGAGAGGCTGGTCTCTGAGTGCTGCTTTCGCCACCTCCCAAGCCCCTCAGGAGTGAACCCAATTCACATCTGCACCCATCGGCCACCAGGACCTGGGTGGCGGGGCTGGGAAGGGACACCAACCACCTCTGGCCCTGGGCCCCTCCCCTCCCTTGCCCAAGTCTGTCCCGAGAGTCTCCACTGAAGCCCACCGTCCTCTGGGGGCCCCGGTGTGCTCCTTGGAGCCCTTCCTGCACCGCGTGGGGGCAGGGCCAGTCGGAGGCTGCCCAGGCAGGGCCCCTGCACCGTGTGCGACTCCACAGGTTCCTTCCAGGAGGGGGCCCCGGGTGTTGCTCCCCACACACACTGCGGAGCAGGGCCTGTGGCCCAGACGCCTCAACCACGTGCCCAGAACCAGACAGGTGGAACAACACCAGGTCTTTCTGTGCCGCCGCCCGGGCAGCCCACATGCTGGGATGTCGCAGGCCGCCTGGGGCAGGCGACACTCTGGGGTCATCAGGACACAGCCCCTCACACGGCCCCTGGGGCCCGAGAGGTTTATGTAGGATGTTTTCTCCCCCAAAGACAACACACACAATCCAGGTCACCGTACTAGCATTTATTTTTCTTTGACAAGGAGCACACTGTACTGACGGGCACCTCCTCTGGAGCGGCGCACAGGGAAGGCCTCTCCTCTGCCTGAGGGAGGGGCTGCCGGCACAGGAGACCGTCCCATGAGCGGCTCGTGGCCTGTGAGCAAACGCCACGTGGGCCTGGCTGTGCCTCAGCCCACACGGTGGTGTGTGAGCACATGCTGGGGACAGAGCACTGTCTGGCAGTGGGGACATCACTCTGGCTGCACGGCCAGGCCCAGGGCTGTGGCAGGCATGGGACATGGACACAGCCACCGACCACAGCCTCCACGCAACACGGAAGGGCCGGCAGGGCCGGTGCTGGTTCCTCTGATACCGTCACCCTCCGACCCACACGCTGGAATATGAGTCACACAGATTACTCGGGGCCACTGGGACCTTAAGTGGGCTGTAGCCCCAGCAGCTGACCCAGGACCCTCACCAAGGCAGGCTGACGGCCACGGCGAGGGGCCTCACGCGTGTGGTGATCGCCCTCCGTGTCCCCTGAAGCTGCGCAGCTGTGGGCTCCCCCACGGCAGGCCAGGCGCAGGGAAGCTGCTGTGACGACGCAGGGGCTGACTTCGGTGTCCCCCGCGCCTCCTCAACGTCCTCAGCTCCCGGCGACAGCCACGTGTGTTTTGGACAAACCAGCCCCCCGCGTCTGCGCCAACCCCAGGCACGGGCCTCGCTCCTGAGGCCTCTTAACCCTGCTCCACTCTCCTGTCTCAGGCGCCAGACGGGCAGCCCGGGTGCCAGCGCCAGGACAACAGGCAAGAGCTGGGCCGCCGGCGGGCAGCGTGCTCCTCGCGGCTCGCGTCTGGGGCTACCGTCCCTGCACACGGCCTCTTGCTCCCCGACCAAACAGAGGTCCCCTCCTCCACCCTGTAGCCCTGGCAGACCTGCCTGGACAGGCAGGGGACAGCACACCTCCAGGCCCTCGGGCACACCGTGGGGACGGCACACCCATTTGAAGCCAGAAGGGGAACAGCGTGTGCACCCTCCAGAGGCACGCGGCAGGCTCCTGCCCCAAAGCTGCGAAGTTAAGGTCTCAAACGGTGAGAACATCACAAACACCCCAAGAACACTGGTGCTGGGAAAAGGGAACAGAATTAAACCTCGACAGGAAATGGGCTTTCACCAACAGCATCGTTAAAAACCAGTGTTTCCAGGTTCTAGGTTAAAATCCTGCCCCAGAAAACCGTGCAGCAGGTGTAGCAGCAAACCCACAAGGACAGCTGTGCCCTCCTCCTAGGGCCCCGCCGTGCACGGACGCACCGCCCGGCCCGCGGGGGGCCCCCCCGAGAGGACGGCCAGGTCGCCGAGGGGCAGCCTCACGGCCAGCACGGTGGTGCTGCTGCGCTCAGAAAACCAGATCGGAGATGAGCAACAGAGCAGCGGCATTTCGGTAAAACCTCAACAAAATTTCCACTTCCGATCAAACTTCTAACCTCCCTTTAATTCGCAGATTTAACCACAGAACTGTCTTGATTTCTATAAAAACTGATCCCAGGGTCCACACTCCCTCCTCCGGACTCGGCCCTTGCAGGGCTGAGCCTCTCCTCTTGGGCGGCCCACGAGGGATGGGCCTGGAAGAGCGGCCGGGAGGCCGTGCACGGCGGGACGCGGACAGGGTGCTTATGTGCAGGATGGTCACCGAGACAAGGGCAGAGACGAAGAAAGCGCACGAGCGCGCGGCCTGGTCTTCCCTCCTCGCCGATCAAAACTGCTGCGACAGCAGCTCGCACAGCCGCTGGGAGACGGTCTCTTTGCTGGTCCGCAGCGTGAGCCGGTACATCTGCAAGAGGGCACGCAGGTCAGCACGGCCGGGGCTCGCAGGCCGCGGCATGGCCTCCCTGGAGACGCCACTTCGCAGAGGCCTGAGCACCGTGCGCTCTCGACACAGGCAATGGGCAGGTCTGACAATGGCAATAATCTGGCAAGTGCAGTGGCTGGAATGTCACGCGGCCCAGAATGGCACAGAGACCCTGGGGGCGGCCTGGCAGCTCCTCACCCCGCTAACCACGCACCTGCCCGGAGCTGGCGGCTGCCCTCCTGGGCATGACCCAAGTGACGTGGAAACAGGTGTCCACCGGGAGAGCTAGACACACGCCAGCACCCCGGGAGAAGGAGCGGTGCTGGGGAAGGGGTGGCGGCTGGCACAGGCAGCAGCACAGGGGTGCGTCCACAGCCACCAGCCACTGCCATGAGCACGCAGGGCCCAGCCCGCTCTGTGCTGGTCGCCACTGGGGGAGGCTGGGACATGAGGGAGCTTTCTGGGGGATGGACACGTAACGTGGTTGACGGGGTGGTGGTGGGACTGATGGGACTATGTTTAGACCCACACACCTCACTGCGTGTGAGTCGCGCCGAGTAAAGAGACGGCGCCTAAGTGCAGCCGCGCCCCCAAGAGGTCTGACCTGGGCTTGCAGGTTTGGCTCCAAGCGCAGCAAGCATCCAATCTGGGTGGTTTTGGTGTGTATGATGCCAGCCCCCACGAAGTTGGCAGGATTAGGGTCGACTTCTTCAAGAAGCGCAGAACCAAATCCAATAATCTGTCCAAAAGAAGCAGGAGACTGAGACATCGCACTGGGCCGGTCGCAGGCAGGGCCCGCCTGAGGACGCCCCTGCACGGGCCCTCACCTTCGCTTTGGTGATCTCCGTGTCCATCGGATGCTTTGCTTTGAAGATGTTCTGCACCTCCTGCTGTGGACTAGGAGCAGTGACGGCAAAGCTGAGTGTTCTGGGCCAGGCCGGAGATGAGACCACCGTGTGGAGTGGGCCCCTCCCCCCAGCCCCGCGGGACCCAGCCCTCTTACTTGCTTAACTGCTTCCAGCGCTGAAAGAAATCCTGAGAGGACATCTCCGTGGGCTGGAAAAACTTGTTGAGGGTGATGGGCAGCTGGACAGACACATTCTGGAAGGTGCCCCCATACCTGCGAGCAGCAGGGCGCATCGGGGAGGGCAGAGGGCACATCCTCAGGGGCCAGGCAAAGGCCAGGGGTAAAAGGTATCCCCATACACCAAAGGCCACTTGAGGGGGCCAAGCCTCGAGCCCCCACCCTGCCACGTGCAGCCCAGTATCTCCTCCTGGCAGACGGGCCATAGACGCCCTGCGGGACACATGCGTGGCTTCCCCTCTGCCAATAACCTGTTTCCTAGAACCCCAAGTCTGCGTCAATTGTGTGGGTTATTTTTTTCCCATGAAAAGAGTAAAAAAAAAAAAGCATTTGTCTACAGAATGAAACAAAAAATTTGCATGTCTGTTTCCCCATATTCTGCAAAGTACAGTCTTAAATTCTGCCTATTTTTAATGTTTCAAAATGTGATTTTCCAAACATTTTTTACCCTGCAAGTACCCGACAGGGAGCTGGCTGACTATGAACACTGTGTTGTTGTCATCTGAGAATAACGAGTGGTCGCAACACAAAACACTTGTGCTTTTGACAAACAGGCAAATGAGCCTACAATTTGAGTACCACCACACAAAAACCCACACCGTGGACCAAGGTCTGGAGGAGACCAGCTGCCACTGTCTTTCCAGGCCGAGCCCAGCGGGTGGCGCAGGGCCTGCTGCCTGCCACGCCAGGGGGGACCCGTTTCTCAGCAGGAAGCACCTGGGCTCAGAAAGGTCCCCAGCTGCCCAGCCACAGGGTGGCACCCGGGCCCTGCCGTGACACCACTGAACTGCCACCCAGAGTCCTGGCTCTCTCCCTCCCCTACTTCCTATGCTCCAGAAAGCCGACACTGCGCCTACGCACAGCCCGTGTTCAGGAGGGATACCGAGGCTCCATGAGGACAGCAACCCCGGCACAGCTCAGGCGCCCACGCGCTCCATGGCAGCGCTTACCTGAACTGAATGTTGAGGACCGGTGCCTCTGTGAAGTCGGACACACACTCGATGTTGACCACCTGCTGCACCTGGGCGCCCCCATCCACGGTCGGGTCCACGGGCTTGGTCTGCAGGTTCAGATGTGTGCGCGTCAAGGAGTCCAGGCCACACTGGCACTCGGGGCCGGGCCGAGCAAGCCGCGGTGGCGGAGAGCACCGGGAGTGCTGGCAGTGCCCGCCACAGGTCTGAAGCCGCGTAAGGGAGGAGGCTACCCGCACGCGCCACCCAGCCCTGCCCTCCTCCCCGCTGCATCCCACCACCAGGCAATCTGCGAAGTACCCTTTGCATCTCATCACCACCAAAACGACCCTTCTAAAAAGTTGCTTAGGTTACGTACTGGCTATTTTACTTATTTGTTTCCATTTTACGAACCTCAGCTATGGAACTTACAGATAGATTTTTGCTGCTGTTAGCAGAAACTAGCACTCAGTATTACAGCAAGACAACCTCAAGGATTCCAGAACAGGCTTCCGAGCACCACGTGAATCGGAAGAGAATCTGCCCTACTTTGGCAAACAAAGGGCTTGTCTGCAACACCCCCACCCCTCGAAGAAACGACTGCCAACGCCAGGCTGGACCCAGGAGGCCAGCAAGGAGCGGCCACACGGCTGCTGGGCTTAGCGTCTCCCATGCTCCCGGGGAGCCCTGTGGACCCCGAGGAAGAGACGCTGATGGGGGCTCTGCAGAGTCAGTTCTCCCACTCCTGACCTTGGACAAAGCCTTTCATGAAGCTGACACCACATACATGTATTTTTAATAACGGTTTTGAAACACTCAGCTCTATCAGTCTGCGTTTAAACACCTTCACCGTAAGGAACGTGGACTGGCCCGTGGTGGGGAGGTCACTGCTCCACACTTGTCTCTGACCATAAACCCAACGGAAGCCGCTGCCTTCCCTGGCCACGCTGGGGTCTTCGTGCCAGTTTTACTAGGGGATCTATTCTCAACGGAAGAGATACCTGAACAGCACCACTGGTACCAGCTTTCCTGTCTTCCAGCTGGGATAGTTCTAACAACATTTCCGTATTTACCAAGAGACAAGTCTATAGGCAGAATCTGATTTGGCTAAAAAATAAAAAATAAAAAAAAATAAAAAAAAAAAAGAGACAAGTCTGCCGTGAGAACGCAGAGCGCCCGGAAGCAGACACGAGCCGGCCTGGGCGTAGGGGCTCCACCTGATGGCACCGCCACACGCTCTGCGCTCGCTGCCCACCTGCCAGACCTGGCAGAGAAGGAAGCCAAAGTGCCCAAGGGACCTGAGATAAAGTCACAGGAGAACTGAAACGAGCTGATGAAGAAAGTGCCTCCAACCAGCCAACTGGAAGAGGAACACAACACACAATCTTGTTTTCAGATGTGTCATCAAAAACTGACTCTCAAATATGACGATCGCTGCAGCATCTGGGATTGTTCTGCTATTTCGACCAAAGCAAAAACAAAAACAAGAACAAAAGCCTTCCTCAAAAGCCTCCTCTAAACCCCAAATCACTATGTGTCTGTGGGGGCTGGGACCAAGGATATGAGACTGAAGGTCGTCTGGACAGATCAGTGCTGGAGTAAAATTCAAGAACTGCGTGGAGGTCTTATTACCATAAAATATAAACATCCGACCTAGGAGGAAACAGAAACAATTTATTTCACGCACATCGTTTCATACTCACCCTGGAGGATTTATTCTGGACAACGTTACCCTGAGTAACGTTAATATGGAAAACAACGAGCCCCTGCAAGCCCAGCTGAATGTAATCACTGTGATCTACAGCCGCTGTCAGAATTAAGAGCAAGCGTTTTGTGGTCTCAAAAGCAGCATGCCAAACGTGGGAGCGGGGACTCCCCTCGGCACCCTTCTCCTGCGGCCTCCTCCCACGCGCCTGCGCAGGGCGGGGTCCACGGGGAAGAACCAACGGACGCCCGGGTGGGCGGCTCAGCTACACCTGGCGGGGCCTGCGGGCGCCGTCTCTGGGGAGGCCCTGGCCCGAGACTGCAGCGCAGGGACACCCGCATCTGCTCCGGCCGCCTCCTGCCAGGGAGGCCCCGGGGGGCCTGCGCCCACACAGCTCCGCACGGGGGTCTCGCGGCCGGGGACCACCCTTCAAAACCAACGCACGTCAGGCCTCACCGCGCCCGGGTCATCGGCTCTGCACAGGCCCACGCTGAGGATGCGCTGGCAGGTTCAGTGGTTTACGTCACAGTAGAAATCTTTACAAAAGTCTCTGTGAACATTTTCACACCCTTTGAATTCAGAAAGGAAAGTAAACCTCAAATATTCTGGAAAGGACAGTTTGTCATCACTCCTCCCACGATTTAAAAAACAAAAACAGAAACCCAGGTGAAGTCACCATGGCCGAGAGTTCAAAGCCTCAGCACACCAGGAACAGAATGGCATCCTCTGAGAATCACCGTGCTAGCCCTGGGAGGCCCTGGAGGCAGGTGTCTGCTCCTCCCCTTCTCTCACACTCTCGCTGGTTTTCCACAGCAGAGAAAAAGGAGCCCTTGCGCCTGGGAGGAGGCAGGGGCCACGGCCCACAGGGGCCTCTGCGGCAGCAGCCCCCCGGGTTCAGTGGGCTGTTTTCCCTCCTCAAAAGGTTTTTTTTGTTTCTTTTTTAAAATTGTGGCAAAATATACATAACCTAAAATTTACCATTTTAGCTGTTTTCCAGCATATAGTTCAGTGGCATTAAGCACATTCACTCTGTGAGATTATCACCACTACCCATTTCCAGAACTTTCTCATTTCCCCAAGCTGAAGCTCTGTCCCGATTAAACACTGACTCCCTGTCCCCCTCCCCAGCCCCGGCACACCCCCATCCACCCTGTCTCCACGGACCTGCCTGCTCTGGGGACCTCAGGAGCACACCTCACAGCACTTGTCCCTCTGCGTCTGGCCTGTCTCGCTCGGCAGTGTCCTCAAGGCTCGTCCCCGTGCAGCCTGTGCCAGAACCTCCTGCCCCCCTTCTTGTCCTTCTCTAAGAGGCTCGGGTCTGAACTCCTGGCCTCCAGCAACGTCCTTGCTCTGGCCTCCAGAGTGCTGGAGCTTACAGGCATGAGCCACGGCCCAGCGAGGAGTTCCTTCTTTTTAAGGCTGAATACTATCCCACTGCATGGACAGCCCACGTTTCGTTCATCTCTCATCTGCACACGGACCGCTGGGATACCGCCACCCATGGCCACTGTCAACAGGGGTGCGGTGAACAGGGGTGTGCAGACTCCTCTTTAAGACCGTACTTTTGATTCTTTTGAGGATATACCCAGAAGTAGGATTGCTGGACCACATGGTGGCTCTATTTTAATTTTCTAAGGAACAGCCACACTGTTTGCACAGCGGCTCTCCATCATACCCGCCCCCCGAGCACAGGGCTCCGATGCCCCCACGCGCCACCTGTCCTGCTCCTCTGTGGCCATCCTGACATACGAGGTGGCATCGCCCTTGGTTCTGGTTTGCGTTTCCTGCTGACTGGTGACTCTGAGCACCTTGTCATGGGCTTATTGATCATTTGTATGTCTTTGGAGAAATGTTTTTTCCAATCCTTTGCCAATTTTTAACTGGGTTGATTTCCTGTTGTTTAGCTGGAGGCATTCTTTATGTAATCTGGATACCTGTCTCCTATCAGTACAAGATCTGCAAATACTTTTCTCATAATTTCCTCTAATTTCAAAAACAAGTATTTATTAAGTAATGAAAATACATACCTAAATTCTGCCGAAATTCAGACTTAAGTCCAATTTGAAGCAGCTGGTTTTCAAACAACACACCATTATTTTTACAAACAAACCTAGGGGAGAAGAATAGTATGTGTGTCACTCAAAGCTGTCTGCTGAAATTCAAGGGATGTTTTGGGAAAGCACACTAAGGCCGGGAAAACCTCCATGGGAATGAAAAAGTAGAAAATTATTCTGAAGACCAGCACCGCAAGCAGCCACCAGCCACAGAACGTGAGCACAGCTGGGGATAGAGGCGACCTGTCAGAGGCGACCTGTGGGGTCCCTGGGTCCAGCTGCTTTTCCTAAAAGTGTTCGTCCACAGTCAGCGCGCCTCACGGACTCGGACAGGACAAGCGGGCCAGGCACCACGCTCCCCTCCAGGCGGGGCCCTCGGCGTCGGGCCCTGGCCACCCCCGCTGACAGGCCACGCGTGACGGGCAGCCTGCCCCGAGCTGGGCCCACTGGGCGCCTCCCCTGGCCTCCTCAGCACACAGTCAGTCTTGATGCTGCACAGGCTCTGCTCACTACAAGGATTCTGCTCACTACAAGGATTCTGCTCACTGCAAGGGCATCTGTCTACACTACCCAGAATTAAGGAAAAATAAAATAACATTGGTTGGTTTTTGCTTGTGTTTACCTCAGAAGAACTTAAAGGTTTTCTGGCCTCTTCTAACACAAAGGACAACCACACAGTGAACTGGGTCCAGAGGAGCGGAGGGCTGGGGCGGGCGGTCTGCGTCTCCCACATGCCCTGGGCACTGGGGAACAAGCGCAGCGCGGAGACAAGAGCGCTGCTGGTCAGGGGTAAGGCGAGGGGACCGGCAGCATCCCCCTCCCCCCCCACCCTCCCCCGCCCTCGAGGCAGAGGCCCCGAGGCGGCAGCCCACAGCTGGAAGCCTCCACGTCCACTCGCACTCGCTCTGTCTCTGCCGAGCTTCCTGCCGCCGCGCACCCTCCCGACCTCAGCGCTGCTGGCTTGCGGACAGTCTGGAAGCCAGGGCAGGGCGGCCTCGAGCAGCTCAGGAAGATGGTAGGGGACGCAGCAACAGAGACAGCACACAGCGATGGCGGCAGACGCCAGGGGGCCTCGGCGCACCACGGGGCTCGAGGGGGTGCTGCCCGCTCACCCTGCCCCGCCCCCGCAAGCCCCTTGGAAGGCCACCCTGCCCTGCACGGCTGGCCAGGCCTCTATCCAGCTGCAGCCACGCGTGAAGACTCATGACATGAAACGCAGTCTACCCAACACGCGGAACGACTCTCCATAGTGTGTCTAAGGACACGTGCCGCCACGTCTCCCCGGGACCTCATGGCAACCACTGCCACGCAACAGGAGGAGCAGCGGGCAACAGAGCCGGCGGGAGAGGTCCAAAGCGCTCGCTGCGCCCGGGGGCTCAGCTGCCCCGGAGTCGCTGCCCACCCATGTGACCTGGGCTCCACACAGGGGCCAGTTTACACACCTGGTGTGCACTAAGCCCCTTGAAACTGACATCTGTCCTGGACACGTAAAGGGCATTTGCCCATCACCCGCTACGTGACCGGGAAGCCCTTGCAGTCAATGTCTTTGGCGGCTTGGTCTTTAAAGGCTCTTCTCAACTACATGTGACCCAGAGGAAGCCGGGGTGAATAAGCCCACTGCAGGAGGCCTGTGGGGACGCAGCCTCCTCACACCCACCAGCGTCGGCTGAGCCTGTCCACAGCATCCACACCTCACCTACGCCAAGGGCACCAGCCCCACTGGTCCCGCTGGCCCCGCAGCCAGACCAGAGGCAGGATGGCCACACTCCAGCACGTGCCAGACGCTGGGGGACCGGGCCAGCCACGGGGGAGAAGCACCTCCAACGTGAGCAGACCACAGACGCCGAGTGTGGCTTCTCGAGCAGCCTCACAGGGACAGCAGGCGCCGGGGCGCGTGTGTCCTGCACGGGAGGGCCTCTGGGCAACCCAGACAGCCCCTACTTGTCCCCGCAGGACAGCAGGCAGTGGCCACTGCCAGGGCCTTGGGACCTGGGCTCTGTGTGGCGCTTTTAAATCTCAAACGCAGCCATTCTAACACAAGTAAAAAGTCTGTTTCCAGCCAGAGAGGCAATCTGCACCAAACCTGTCCTTCCTACATCATTGTCAACGGTAGGAAATAATCAGCGGTCAAAATGAATACAAGGAAACTAGGAAAAAAATTAAAACCACAAGAATTCTACTGTGGCCCGCACAACTGGGGGCAGCGGCCGTTGCTCCCGAGCTCCCAGCAGGACGGGGACGGAGCGCGGGGACCCCTCCCACCTCTGGCCTGGCTTAGGGACAAGCAGACAGGTGAGGGCAGACGGCAGGGAGGAGAAACGCACAGGATCAGCCAACAGAGAGAGGGAAGAACAGTCTGGCGTTCGTGTTTTGAAAACGGGGCACATAGGGACAAAGAGGCCGGGCAAACCAGAGGTGCCCAGACACCCGTGAGTCTGGCAGGAGGAGAGACGCCCCAGCAGGAAGGCCCAGGCCGTGCGCAGGGCGGGGGCTTTATGGGGGAGGTCCTCGATTGACCAACTAAACAATGTTTCTTTTAAAAAAAACCCAAAAGGATGGGAACCCAGAAAGCAAAGACGGAACATTGAAGTCAGGTTGGAAAGGGTGAGGGGAGAAGAAACAGCCACGAACGCCCAAGAGCGGGCGAAGGGCAGGCTCCAACGCCACCACACAGACAGGCACTGCCGCTGACTGGCCCACGTGGCTGCTGCTTTTGTGGGTTTTTTTGAGACACAGTCTCGCCCTGTCGCCCAGGCTAGAGTGCTGTGGCATCGCCATAGCTCACTGCAGCCTCCAGTTTCTGGGCTCAAGCAATCCTCCTGCCTCGGCCTCCAAAAGGCTGAGAGTACAGACATGTGCCACCGTGACTAACTCCATGTGGCTTCTTTCACCTTGTTTTTCCTTCCTGAAATGGTCACTCCGCAATGAACAATGTCAGTCCACTAGCAAGGGCGGGGGTGGGGAGGTACAGAGCAAACCCGCCCACACAACGGCAGCCCCCGTGGTCTCTTCCCAAGCAGTCACCCGGGAGGGGGCAGCACTGCCCACCTCTATCCAGCGGCCGTGGGCCCCACGGAAGTCAGGGAGCTCGGGGCACCAGTCCCACCTCCAGGACCCAGGAAACCCAACTACCTGGCAAAGTTGTCTTCGGAGCCGGGAGCGAGAGGCGCAACCGCAGAGGCAGAGTCCGAGAACACGTCCACGAGCAGCCCGCCGCCAGAGGAGGGTGGGGGGCCCGCGGGGGCAGCGGGGGCGGCCCCCAGGCCCAGCAGGTCTGCCGACGGGGAGGGCGTAGACTGGAAAGGAAGGAAGGACAGCGTCAGCACGGAGCACCGGGGCCCAGCTGAGTCCAGGCTGCTCACGCACACACGGCCTCCTCCGAGGTGGCCACGGACCGGGCCACGGCGGGCCAGTCAGTGACGGGCAAGTGAGCACCAACGGCCCTCTCCCCAACCCAAGTGCACCCCAGGGTCGAGCCTAACGATGAATGCACTTAAAAGGTTAGTCACGATTTCAAACAACTAGAAAAATAGCCTGCATTTTCCCCAAACGTTATTTGGATGGAAAAAAAGTTATGAAACAATTTTCACCATGAAAGAGATCAAAAAGAAATGTACAGCTTCAGAAACAAGACCGTGTATGTCTCTGTCACCAGCATAGGTTTTAAAACCTGAAAAAGTAGGCAACTAACTTGTCAGGATGCATTCTTAGTTTAATCATTAAGTTTTATTTAGTTACTGAGAAAAAGTAGGTAAGTCTACAGAACAGACACTTTTTAGAAAACAACTGCGTTCCGGTTCTGGGCAGAGGCACAAGGCGAGAGCCGTGGTGACGTCAGGTTAAGCTCAGCCGACCACAGACCCACGCTCCACACCCAGCAGCCCAGCCGCCTCTGCCCCTGCAAACCTCACTCTGCTCTGCGCTCCACGCGCCCTGCCCGCCGGGCCTGCGCACCACAGGGACCCGTTGCACTCCATGAAACTGACGTAGCCCAATGCCACACGTGGGACATTCCCCACCCAGCTACGAGCACTGGGGAGATGCGGGGGGGTCGATCGCCACCATGGTTATGGGGTGCCACTGGCACTTCACAGGCAACAACCAGAGACATGAGACACCGGCCTCCAAGACTCACCCTGAACGACTATTCAGAGCCCACTGGACATCCACAAAAGCAAAAATTGGGTTTACAATTACCTGAGTCTAGATCCTAAGGCTACTTCACAGAAATGCAAAGTTAGGGTGTCACGCTGCATTTCAAAATGACGACTGTGTAGGGAGGTCAGGAGGAGCCTGAAGTCAGGGACCTGACTGAACTCACCTGGAAGAGGGCCCCGCGGACGCACCTTACTGCCAAGTGGACCCTCGCTGCCTGCTCCGAGCACAGACCTCGCTCACACCCTGCCGAGAACTTCCGTGTGACTCCCCCTACGCGACGTGCAAGGGCCAGAGCCGAGCCCACGCCCACCGCCACGTCCACCCTGGACCTCCCCAGACAAGAGCGTGCGGCCAAAGGCCTGGGGCCCACGCCCGCTTCACATAAGAAAGACAAGTCAAGAAACCACCCAAGGAAGGGAGACTGATGACAACTGTCAAAGCCCCTTGTGTTCTCGTAAAGTCAGAGCCTCCGAGAGGAGCGAGCGTGCCCGGCACCCTGCCTGGGTCGGCACAAGCAGTCGTGTTTCTGGAAGGCTCCGAGGTGACCTTGCTGAGAGCTGGCTGGCAGGCCGCCCTGCACACCAGCTCGCAGGGTTTGCGTCTTCCTCCGCGCAGCCTCTCTGGCCTGGAGCCGGGCAGAGCTGCTGCCCTTTCTCCCTGGCCTGGCCCCCACAGAGGAGCTGCCGCCCTGCGTCCCTGGGAAGGTCCCTGCCCTGGCACAGCGTACGAAAACCTTCAGTGTGCTCTGCCTTCAGAGATCCACGCTGCTTTGCCGACCCAGTCCATCCACAAAACCTCTGAAGCCAGGAAGACCTTCATGACCTCTTCAAAACCGGAGTGTCACGATGCCCAAAGAGAGGGAGACATGGACTGAGGACGGATGGAGGCTACACCGTGAGGCGCCGGGTCACTGACGTCCCACAGGTCGGGTTCGAGGGTGGGCCGCCGGCTCTACAGAGCGTGTGAGGAAACACTAACAGCATCTGCAGAGCGCACCTCCCACGGAACCACTCAGGCACGAAGGGAAGACGACCAGGGAGAGAAGGTGCATTCACGGATCACTCCAAAAGCGACTTATCACGGAATTCAAGCTGCCAGAGCCCGGAGCAGATACCAGAAGGCAGACGCACCAGCGCCTCAGGGAGGAGCAGAGCACCACGGGGAGACGGGACGGGCTGGGTGCTGCGCCCAGGACCTGAGTAGGGGAGGGGGAAGGGAGAACACAGGCCCAGCACGGCCTGGCCGCTGTCGGCCGGGGGCAGCACTGCGGTCAGCAGGGGCACAAGTCGCCCCCGCCCCGGCAAGGAGCTCCAGGGCTCCGATGGAAACACCCTCCTGACGAGCAACCTGCCCGGCTGCGGTCTCTCTGCGCCTGGCACGCGTCGCCACCGGAGCCTGCCCTGGCGAAGTGCCACCTGCCACTGGTCAGCGGCACTTGCCACCCTCAGTGGGCCGGCATCCTGGGGAGGAAACAAGTCCTTCCAGGGCTCCCTGTAACTGGACGAGCAGAAAGCCCAAACGCAGCCTCCTGGGGAGGCGTCTTGCGCCGCAGCCGGTGCACAGAGTGAAGCTCTGACGGGACAGCTAGACGCCCACTCACCGGGTTCCCACCCCAGCTAGGGAGGAAAAGGAAACAAACTGCAACTCTCAAAACGACACTTCCCACCCAACGAATAACGCAGGGCATTTTCATTAACGTGGATATTTTCATCATGTCACCCACAGAGGGAAAATTAGCTGTAAATCAACTCGCTGCAGAAAACCTCTGGAACGGGGCAAGGCGAGCGCGCTCTGCACCAACAAACCAAGTGGACAGGCCTCCCACATCAGAGGGAGTGACCCCGTCCCCTAAACACGCTGAGAGGCAGAGCATGACGCCTGGAAGACACACCGGGCAAGCAGACACTGGCCTGGGCGCGGCAGCCGGGCTTGGACAGGGAGGGCAGAGCCGAGTGCGGGACAGGGCGCCTGGGCCTGGCGGCCGTGAGAGTGAACGGCTCCCGGAAAGGCTAACGCTCTGCTGCCCGACTTGGGTGGGCCCGAGGGGTCTGGGTGCACAGTGGGGCTAGAGACCCACCGCGGCGCTGGTGCTGGCGGGCACGGGCTCCGGGCCCCCGTTCACGTCCACGCTCCGCTCCCGCTTGGTGTCCTCCAGGTCCGTGACCGTGCTTGGGCCCTTCTTCTTCTTGAGCTTTGCCAGGATGGAGGACTCACGCTCCGGGAACGGTGGCATCTCCTCCAGGACAGTGGCCTTGTTGGGAAGAACAAGGTGACAAGTGGGTCCAGAGCCCCTTCGCTTCCAACGCCCGGACACTGACGTGGCCCTGCTGCGAGGTAGGCCGGGCGCACACGCAGCGACTCCCAGACACACGCGGCGGGCGCACCCTGCCTACCAGGATGTCAGTGCTGGCCACGGTGCTGAGCCTCAGGTACTCCACGGCCCGCTGCTGCAGCTCCACGTCCGCGTTCTTCAGCTGGCTGTCACTGCGCAGCACGTCCTGGATGGTGGTCTTCACCTCCGGGAAGAGGTTCACGAACTTGATGTAGGTGGACAGGAGCAGCGCCCGGGTGGGGACGCTGCACAGGTGGAACTTGGAGTGCAGCAGGTTGAACTGGACCAGAGGGCTGGGGGCGGAGGGCACGCGGGGGACAAGACTGTCACCTGGCTGCACTCGCCCACACGCCCTAGCCAGGGAGGGGCGTGGGTGAGGGACTCTCCCCGAACCAGCCCTGTGAGGCCCCACTGCAGGCCCCAGATCTGACAGCAAACGTCCCCCCTCACAACGGTGGCCCTTCGACCACGTCTCTCTACCGCCAACTACAACCCCTGCTCCTGTGTCACTCGCAGGAAAACAAGACGTCGACCCAGAACGGAAGGGGTCTTCCCGGACCCGCCCGGCAGGCCCAGCTGGGACCCCTCCCCAGTCTCTTACCTGGACCTTGGGTCCCCAGCGATCAGGTTTCCAAACTCCCCCAGGATGTAGCCGCCCACTTTGACCAGGTTCTCGTGGCACGCCGGAGCCTGTAGAGCCTGTGAGACCAGGAGCGTGGTGAGGAGGTGGGCACTTCCGTGTGGGGTGTACGGTGCGCCAACGAGCCCCCCAGAGCTTCCTGGAGACCCGGGTCTCAGCCCCCGCCCTGCTTCACGCAGCACCATGGCAGCAGGGACACCGGCCCACGCTGGAGGAGAGCGGAGGCTCAGGCCAGGCCCCTGCCCCAGGAGGGGCTGTCGGCACCCTGCACGCACGCTCCCTAGCGGGCCACTCCTGTGGCGGAAAAGGCAAGAGGCACCTCACAGACCCATGTGCGCGCACACGGAGCACAGCACGGCCCGAGAGAGCAGGAGTGTGGGGGGCGCGTGAGGAGATACTGGGCCCCGAGAGGTGCCAGCAGCAGAGCCGGGACCTCCAAGCACAGCGTGAGGGCCCAGCACAGCCTGGAAACCGTGCCTTCGTGCAGTCGGGGCTTCCCGCCCGCCCCCGCAGGGCCGCACCTCGAACACGGTCTTGGCGGCGTAGCCCTGCACGTCGTCCCGGTTGATGACGATCTGGATGACGCGGTACCACACCTCTTCGCTCACGTAGTCGCCGGCAATGCGGATCAGGTTCAGGATGGTGTCCACGTACCAGGCGTAGTCCACCGCGTACTTCTCCGCCAGGATGGCGACCTTCAGCACCTGCGGGGGCGGCCGGTCAGGGGTGCCTGCGGGCCACCAGCCGCGCAAGCTCGCGCCATCACCCAGAGTCAGAGCGAGGGCTTCGGAAGGACCAACCGTCTCTGTGGAAGCTCAGGACGAGGGAAGCTCTCCCCGAGCTTCCAACGGAGCCCGAGCCCAGAATGTTTCAGTTGCTGACTTCGCCACACGACTTCGGGAAGAGACGCAGAAAGGCTGAGCCAAGCGCGCCGAAGCACACGAGAGCCTCTCACAGGCAGCGGTGCCGCTCCTCAGACGCCCTCCCCAGGCCACGGCGGAGGCAGCTCCACCGCGCCCTCCCCTCCCAAGCCCCCGCCCTCGGGGCAGTGGCTGCTCTGATGCCCGGCGGGGACCCTGGCCACCCTTCTCTGGCCGGCCGTCCTGCTCTGGCCGGCTTTTCTCGAAGACCTCGCCCGCGGGCTGCTTTTTCCCCTCCCCTCAAACACTGGTCCTGCTGGGTGCCACACATCTCCCTTCACTCTGGGAGACCCTCCCCTCCTTTACCCCGCCGCCCCCCCCCCGTCCCACCCACACCCTCCAGCCGCCCCTCCCAGGCCCTCGACTGTGTCCCCAGGTCCCCTGCCTGGAGCCCAGAACTCCGGCCCCCAAACCAACCCCAACGCTGCCAGAGCATCATTCCGAAAGACACTGCCTTCAAGCCCTGCCCCAGCCCAGGGGGTGCACTCAGGAGTCCTCAGAGCCACACCGGCTGTGTTCCCAGTGGCCTCGGCACCACCATCCTCCCTTGGGCGGCCCTGCCGCCTCCTACAGGAAGTCCTCCAGGCCTGGAGGCCCCCAGGTATGGGGCGTTCCCTCCAGCCATCCCCAGGCTCCACACACGGAGACCCGCAGTCCTGCTCACAGTCTGCCCCTCCGTGGAGGGAGACACACCCGCCCTGTGGGCAGGGACCGAGCCTGGTCCAGGTCTAGAGGCCCAGCACCCAGCACCACACAGACAACACGTTCTAACACGCCTGGCTGGATGGCAGGTGGGCTCGGCATCCTGGGATGAGATAGCGTGTGTCTCGCTCTCCATGCGGGGGAGCGGATGGGGACAGGCCTCATCAGAGGGAACCTGAGCAGACACTGAGCTGACCACTGACTGCACCGTAAACACCCAGACAATGCCCAGGTTCTCGTGAATGCCACCCCCAGGGCCAGCCCACCCACCACAGGTGCCGAGACCAGGAGATGCTGCCCCAGCCAGGCCAGAATCAGGCCACCTGTCCAACCCCTGCCCTACACTGAACCCCGTGGCCTGCCCTTGAGGCTGCCCTCCAGGGTCAGCAGTCCCCTCCAGAGGCACCTCGAGAAGCCCCTGCTCTGCTGGGGCAGGCTGCAGGGCCTCACTGGAGTAGGGCGGTGATGGCCACACCCCTCAGCACAGGAGGGCTGAGTAAAGTAAAAGACCACTGAAAACTCACGCGTCTCGCCGGGCACGACCACACACACCTGCACAGGGCAAGCCTGTCACCCAGGGCCAGCTCCAACACCAGCACTCTGCAAAGCTCCCAAGGAGCCCCCAAGCTGCATTTGCTCCCCAGAAAGACAAATAAGAAAATGCTCTTCAGGCTGGTCCGAAGGTAGTGAGTTATCTCACGTGATTGTTCACAGTCAGTTACAGATTGAACTCCTTGTTCTACTACTTTCCCCCCTCCTCACTACTGCACTTGACTAGTCTTAAAAAAAAAAAAAAAAAAAAAAAAAAAGAAAATGCTCTTCAGACCGGACACAGTAGCTTAGGCCTGTTACCCCAGCACCTTGGGAGGCAGAAGCGGGAGGACTGTTTGGGGCCTGGAATTCGAGACCAGCCTGGGCAACACAGTGAGACCCCATCTCTACAAAAAAATTTAAAAAATTAGCTGGGCGTGGTGGCATGCTCCTGTAGTCCCAGCTACTCAGGAGACAGAGGGAGGAAGATCGTTTGAGGCCAGGAGTTTGAAGCTGCTGTGAACGGTGATCACCCTACTCTATTCCAGCCTGGGCAACAGAACAAGACCCTGTATCTCCAAAAAAGGAAAATGTGCTGTCTTCATCAAGGAAAAGGGAAAAGGAAGGGAAGGAAAGAAAATGGTTTTCCTAGACCATGTCTCTAAAAAAAACAGAAAATGGGCTGTCTCTGCCTTGGAAAGGAAAAGGAAAAGGAAAGGCAATGGTTTTCCTACGATGGAGAGGCTGTGGCCCGGCTGGTGGCAGGACCGCCGGCAGCCACTGCAGACCCGCGGTGGGCGGCCTCCCCACTCACATCCCACCGTCAGCGGTGATCGCTGAGAGGTCACCAGACCTGGGTGCGCAACAAAGACAGCTCTGGACTCTGCTCAGCGGGCCACGAGGCCACTGAGACGTCTTCCCGTAGACTGGGTTACGCTCCGTCTCGCACACGAGAGCCTGCTGAGGCTCCATACCTGGCAGGTGTGTGCACTTACTTTGCAGACGACAAGACTAATACTAGAGCAAGCTGCGGCTCAGAGGCGTCGAGAAATACAGAGAAAACACGCCCTGCAAATAACTCAGCGCAGACCGCTGCAGGCCGGCTCAGGCCTGGCGCGCACAGGGTTATCACACTGAAAGGACAGCAGCTGGGACGGCCACTAACAGTGGGCACCTCTGTCACTATGAAGACGGAAAGCCGAGGCCAAGAGACCCGTGCCTGGCACCCAGGAGGCCCCGGCCCAGCCTGGGGAACGCAACCACGACACACGGAGGAGCCCATGGCTGCAGTCACGCTGCGGCAGGAGGGGACTGAGACGAGGCCATCGGGACTCACAATCTCTTCTCGGATGGAGTAGTCGGCTGTCTCCAGGTAGCTCAGCATCTCAGCCACGATCTGCTGGGCGTTGCTGCGGTCACACATGGCGTAGAGGAGGTCCACAGCCCGCTGCCGCACACTCACATCCCGCTCCGTCTGGGGAAGGAGGCGCAGAGTCAAAGACCGCACGGCAGAGCAAGGCTTCGTGGATGTCACCACGTCCACTGCAGCACACGTGGCCTGCAGCACGGGCGTCCACTGCAGCACACGTGGCCTGCAGCACGGGCGTCCACTGCAGCACACGTGGCCTGCAGCACGGGCGTCCACTGCAGCACACGTGGCTTGCAGCACAGGCGTCCACACACTCGAACCCACACGGGCAGGGCAGCCTGTCCCAACGCCCACTCCAACCTCTCTCACTCATCGTGTGTGTCCAGGAAGCCAACGGGCCCCGGCACACTGAGCCCCTCACCCCACTCACTCGCCCCCCTCGATCTCTGCGCTTGGACCAAATGGATCTGGATGGCCCAGAACAGAACTCCATCTGCTCACTCCCCTCTCCTCGTGGCCAGGAGCTTCTCTGAGGCCCGGGCACAGAGCCAGGTGTGGTCGCCAAGGTCCCTCCATTGTGTGGTCACAGACCAGCTCCTCCCAAGTTGCCAGGGAGCTTATCACATGGCAGGTCTCGCCCCTCGCCCAAGAGTGCACCGAGAGACTGCGGAGGCCGCGTGGCACTGCTGTGCCTGAGAAGCGCCAGTGCAGGTCTGGGAAGCTCCTGCCGGCTGCTACCGCCGTCACGGGGCACTCCCCAGCGAAGGACAGTGTGGGCGTCACTAGCATAGGTGACGCCCACACGCTGGCTAGTGTGGACCGAGCCTCGAGAGGTCAAAGCCCTTCAACAGCCTCCTGTTCGAAACAGGCAGCCAGGCTGGGCGCCGCGGCTCAGGCCTGCAACCCCTGCACCTTAGGAGGCTCTGAGTTGCACGCAGACACCAAGGGGCAGAGTGGGACCTGCGCTGCCACGCTGTGAGGCTGGGGCTAGAACCATGGGCAGGAAGCTCCTCCGCCTTCAGCTTCCACACCGCGCCAACAGCCAGGACCGGGGCAGACGCGCCGTGTGCTGGACCAGGTGCGGCAGGCCCTCAGGGCCGTCCTAGGGACTCCAAGGGCAGACGATGGGAACAGAGAACCTGGACTGGGCTCTTCTAACTCTGGGACCTTAATCCTTTCAAGGATTAAGCGAGTTTTCCTTTACAAGGGGGCGTTTTCTTCAAGATAAAAAGGACAAAATATTCCTTCTACCAGAAAGAATCGTTTCTATTACTGAACTATCTGTCAGGACCACTGTGTGCAAGACACCACCCATGGTGACCTGTCCACAGCAGGGATGGAGCCGCCGCAGAGACTCAGGGGTCAGCCTGACAGGGACAGCCGGGCCGCACCATCCGTCGTGGGCAGAGTGGCCTTGAGCCGCAGCAGGCCCTCAGGGCAGAGTGGTGACTGACAGCGCCACGCCACACCGACTCAGTCAGGAGGGGGTCTGTGTCGACAGGAAGCACCGCGCCCCGACTGCCACAGGCGTGCCCGAGGCACCTGCTCGGGGAGCGGGCGCGCCCGATGACGAGCACTTACCTTGAGAGCGTTGATGACGGTGTCGATGTGCGTCTTGACGGCCTCGTGGGAGAACTCGGAGCTGGCCAGCGTGCACATGCTCTCTAGCGCCAGGTAGCGCAGGTTTGTCTCCCGGTGCTGCAGGAACTGGCCCAGCTGGTTGCAAGCGCGGACGAGCAGGTTGGGCTCGCTGCGTGGAGGGCAGAAGGGGCTGCAGGTTTCCTCCACGCCACACAGACTGGGTGGGGGCCGAGTGCCAGGCCAGGGTCAGGCCGCAGACGGCAAAGTCACACCTTGCTAAGCGCCACCACGCTACCCGAGATGAGGAAGCCCCAAACGCCGAAGGCAGCTTTACATCCACTCTGCCCATAAACCACCACGAAAACCAGCAGCTCAGGTACCGGCTGGGGCTTTTCTGCACATTTCTGCAGAATTCCACCAACTCCAAAGATCTAAGGATGGGAGGAACCTTCACAGACCAGCAGCCCCTGAGCTCCACCCTGCACCCAGTGCTCCACGCGGCTGGTCATGCTATGACCACAGCTGTGCTCTCAGCTGGGGTGGCCCTCTAGGACAGCCGAGCAAGAGCCCTGGGGAGGACCTGAGGAAGGTCAGGGAGTGGGCCGTCCAGTCGCCAGAGAACTTGGGTAAGTCTCCGCCTGCTCTGTGCTGCCTCCTGGTGACTGGGTTTCTCCTCCCGTGCGTGTAACAAGGACAAGGTTTCCTCTAATACTGGAAGTTGCATTTTAACAGTTCCCAACCCTCTTGAAATGTGACTCACAGACTATCCTGGGAAACTGTCTTTGTAAAAAACACTATTGTAGAAGATGATTGATTTTAGCTAGCCGTAGAGAACATCTGCCCACGGCCTGGCGTACTCCTTTGTCACCGGGGGCCTGGTGGGCGTCTCCCACCACCCTGCCCGTGAGCCGTGCCATCACTCTCACGGAACCCACCCTCCCACACGGCACCACATGCAAGAGCACCGGTGGGGAGCGTGGTGCGGGGGCCAAGCAGTGGAGGCAAGGAAGCAGACCCTCGGGCTGAGCCGAATGTCCGCCCACCCCAGCACCTCTCTGTGCTGCGTGGGGACACAGCCACCACCACCACGGCCCCGGATGACCCCGGCCGACTCCGAGTGCAGCTCACACCCCGGGATAGCCCACAGGATGTATGCGCACAGCCCTCTTTCCCTCCTGACGGCCACAGGAGAATCCAGGCAGGAGCTGGTGCTCACGGGAGCGGGAGGAGACCCCGGAAAGACCTCGGCCAGCAAAGCAGTGGGTGGGGACCCCGAGCCCAGAGAGGACAGGCCAGGCTGGAGAAGAGAAGGGGCTCACGGGACCGTGCACGCGGCGGGGAAGGAGGGGAAGGCCGTGGCGCGCTGCAATGTCGCGTCGCCCTTCCTCAGCGGCCACCTCACCTGTCGTGGTGGATGATCAAGCTGATGGCCTCGAAGAGCACGGCGTTCTTGGCGTTTGAGTGCTGGACTTTCTTTGACTTGGGCGGCTCCTGGGCCTTGTTCAGGATGGTCTCCAGGCACTCGGTCAGGCGGCCTCGCACTGCAGGGTCTTCTGGGCGAAACGGGAGATGCTAGCAGGCTCCAGCCCCGGCCGCCCCACCCCACGCCCCGTCCTGGCTGCACGCTCGGGGACGAGGCTCTCCCGACACGGTGCACGTCTTGTGTTTTTTTTTTTTATTTTATTTTATTTTTACATTCCCAAAAGCACCAGAACGTCTTGTGTTTTTGATAGTTTATTCACATTTGTGTGCACAGAGGAGAGTATTTACAAAACTGTGAGGAAACGGTTGGTGAGTATCCCTATTCAAATGGTATAAATGTTAAAAATAAGAGGATTTAACAGCCACAGTAACTGCACACACATGTCAATGCAAATAACACGGAATACTCTTGCTAAGACACGGATGCGTAAGTCTAGAGAAAATAAAACCTGAGAGACACAGACAAGGCACACGATCAAAGAGCTTGAGGGAAAGGGGACGAAAAGGTCTCTCTACCTGACACTCTAAGAGAAACAGAGAACACGTCAACAGCAATAAAAGAGAAAAAATTTGGGCCAGGCGTGGTGGTTCAGCCTGTATTCCCAGCTCAAGAGTTGGAGGTTGCAGTGAGCTACAATGATGCCACTGCACTCTGCCCAGGGTGACAGAGTGAGACTCTGTCTCAAGACAAAAAAAAAAAAAAAAAATTTAAGATTCTACAAGAACCAGAGAAAATAATGAATCAAAAAATAATGAGGGCCAGGCGCGGTGGCTCACGCCTGTAATCCTAGCACTCTGGGAGGCCGAGGCGGGCGGATTGCTCGAGGTTGGGAGTTCGAAACCATCCTGAGCGAGACCCCGTCTCTACTAAAAATAGAAAGAAATTAATTAGACAACTAAAAATATATACACAAAAAATTAGCCAGGTATACTGGCACATGCCTGTAGTCCCAGCTACTTGGGAGGCTGAGGCAGTAGGATCGCTTGAGCCCAGGGGTTTGAGGTTGCTGTGAGCTAGGCTGACACTGCAGCGCTCACTCTAGCCTGGGCAATGAAGTAAGACTCTGTCTCAAAAAAAAAAAAGAAAGAAAAAATTGTCTCAAAAAAACTGTACACGCACAACTCAGACACCTCATAAAAGCACAGACAAACCCATACCTTAACAAAACTGTGAGTCCCCCAGTAACTGCTCCACGAAAGCAGACACAGGTGGGGCAGCAGTGGGAGGAGCCACGGAACCAGAACCGGGCTAGTAAAAGACTTCATGTGACAGTAAACAAACGGCTGAGGTCCAAGACATGGAATTAGTGTCTTGGACACTAATTGGTGAGGTGGCTGCAGCCCCGGTGGCGCCGCGGCCGTTACCTGGAGGCGGGTAGCACTGCAGCAGCCTCAGCAGCTTGACTGACAGCCAGGGTGCCGGGACGAAGTAGTAGGTGTAATCCTGGAGGTCCGTCGAGGCCGACGTCACGATCTGCAAGGCAGCAGGGGCAACGAGACGCGCTGGGGACGGTTCTGTCCAACATGCTGGGAGTATCTAATGCTGCCTTCCTATCCTTCGGGCCACTTGGAGGGACGGTGCCGGCACCTTCTGCAGGCAGCTCCAAGGGCTGCTGCTGGCCTCCGCAGCACACAATGCAGCCAAACAGCAGCCAGCACTCGGTACCAAGCACCACGGTGTCTGCACGTGGCACTGGTGTGGCAGACCCCGACCGAGCTTCTGAACAAATGACCACTGCCACAGCCCACGTTCCACCAACACCCAGGTAAGTCCCTTCCCCTCCTGCTTCAGGGATGGCAAAGTAGCACCCCCCTCCCTACAAAGCACACCTGTGTGACACCTATAGGCCAGAAGTGAACCCTGACCCCTGCCCTCAGCTGCAAGATACCAACACAGACTCAGGTCATGGTTACCTTCCTGCAGTGAGGTAAGTGCTAAGCTGTCTGTCAAGAAGTCTGAACACACACATACCAAGCAGAAGAGACAGGAACCACGCCTCATCCGAGCAACGCAGAGACACAGCCAATACAAGCTATCTTTGAAACATGCTATGCCGGCCACTAAAGCCATGCTCAGAAATGTATAGCTTTAAATATGCATATCTGAGGCTGGGCACAGTGGCTCAGGCCTGTAATCCCAGCACTCTAGGAGGCCAAGGCGGGCGGATCGTTTGAGCTCAGGAGTTTGAGACCAGCCTGAGTAAGAGCGAGACCCCGTCTCTACTATAAAAATAGAAAGAAATTAATTGGCCAATTAATATATATATAGAAAAAATTAGCCGGGCATGGTGGCGCATGCCTGTAGTCCCAGCTATTTGGGAGGCCGAGACAGGAGGATCGCTTGAGCCCAGGAGCTGGAGGTTGCTGTGAGCTAGGCTGATGCCATGGTACTCTAGCCGGGGCAACAAGAGTGAGATTCTGTCTCCAAAATAAATAAATAAATAAACTCTTAGAAGAAAACATGAGCAAAGGCTTCACAGCACTAGATTTGGGGTGACTTCTTAGATATGACACAAAAGGCACAGGCAACAAAAGAAAAAATAAACAAACAGGACTTCATGAACAATTCCGTACATCCAGACACTCCCAGCAGGGTGAAAGGGCAGCCACAGAACGGGAAGGTCACTTCCAAATTGCATACCTGGTGAGTAATACCCAGAATATACAGAAAACTCTTAAAATTCAGCAATGAAAACCACAAGAACCCAATTCAAAACTGGGAAAAGGATTTGAGCATTTCTCCAAAGAGGACACACAGACGGCCAATCAGCATGTGGAAGGATGTGCCATGTCACCAACCACTAAGGAAACGCGAACCAAAACCAGCAGGAGACTGCGCCTCACAGCAGACGGAATGGCTGCTGCCGACAGTGGAAAATAACAGGTGCTCACAAGGACGTGGAGAAACCGAAACCCTTGTGCCCCAGTGGTGGGAACGTAAAATGGTGCAGCCACTCGGGAAACAGTGTGCTGGTTCCTCAAAAAACTACAAATGCAACAACCATTTGATCCACCAACCCCACTTCTGGACCCAGACTCCACACCACGGAAAGCAGCTGTACATGCGTGTGCAGAGAAGCACCATTCACGATGGCCACAACACGGGATCAACCCAGGTGGGCACCGAGAGACAGGTGGGCAAGCAAAACCGGCTGCGCACACAGTGAAAAGTTCCTCAGTCTCAGAAAGGAAGGAAATTCCGCCATACGCTACCAACATGGGTGAACCTGGAGGGCGTCACCTGAGTGAGCAAGCCGTCACCATGCCATCCCACGTGAGGCCCAGAGTGCTATCAAATTCACTGAGACAGAAGGTACGACGGTGGTTACCAGGGGCTGCGGATGGGGCTGCAGAGCTGGTGTTCAACGGGAACGGTTTTAGTTCCACAAACTGAAAGAATTATGCAGACGGATGGTGGTGACAGCTGCACAACATTGCGAATACACTTAAAAATGGTTCAGGTGGGCTAGGCAAGGTGGTGCCTGTGGTCCCAGCTACTCAGGCGGCTGAGGCAGAAGGATGTCTGGAGCCCAGGAGTTGGAGGCTGCTGTGAGATGTGATGATGCCACGGCACTCAAGCCTGGCAGGCAGAGAAAGAGAGATCGATCCTAGCTCCAAAAAACTAAAACCCCCAACACCGTACAGCCGGAGGGGTTGAAACCCCAGAGGAAGCCAGGAAGTGACAGCCAGTGCAGAACAGGAGGAACAGAAGACCACGCGCACACGGGCGGGGCGCCGACTGCGTGGCCACACGCAAGCTGGTCTGGCCCCGTCCATCTCCTCAGGCCGAAGAGCAGCCGCCCACGTCCCAGCCGGGCCGCACCTACGTGGACACCCACCAGCACCTCCCGTGCGTGGACACCAGGAGGCGCCCACGGCCGCACAAGAGACCATTCACAAGAGCTTCAAAGTGGAAAGGAGCTAAATGTTCAGCAGGACAGTGGATAAATTACATATCCAAACACTCGAAGTCTATGCAGCATCAAAAATGACTGAACAAAAGCTCCATAAAACAAATATGAGATATTCACAAACAATGTTGAGCAAAACAAGTCAAATACAAAAGAAGCTATGCTGTAGGATCCATTCACATGAATTCAAAACACAAAGTTAAAAGACGGGGTTTCAGACGAATGAAAATCATAAAAGAAAGCAAGGAGTGGGCACCACACGGAAGTCATGACCGGGGCTCCCCTCCGTGGGGAACATGGGGCTTCCAGGAGGCGGCAGTCCACGTGGAGGCTGAGCCCTCGCTCACCAGACGGCCCTGTGCGCTGTCCTGCAGTGCCCTCAACAACTAGAAAGCCCGGAGGAAAAGCCAGGCACTATCCAAGACGGTTTTCATTCTTAGATTTCAAACTGGGCCAAATACCTCGTATTCCAAAAGTTAACTGATACACAAATTAAATTACTAGGACAAAAACCCACCCTGACTTCCGCCCCCCATAAGCACTTACTCTGCTTAATCTAGAGACGGCCAGGGATACAGACGTTTTGAACTCTTCCGGGTTCTTCTGTGCCAGCGTGGTGATGAGGCTCGTGGCGGCAGTTACCACACCCTGGCGGAAGAACACACAGGTACCTCGGATTCCAGTCTGAATACTTGAAGCTGACCACTCATCTTAAATTCATTTTCCAAGTAAAACTTTAAGAGCAACAAACTGGCGGCCCACGGGCCACCTCGGCCCTCAGCGGTCAAACCCACTCCGACGGCTCCACGCTGTTGTCAAAACCAACACAGCTCATCTCTGAAAGCCTGGAAACCCAGCGGCGCTCAGCCCAGGCCCTGCCACGGTGAGGGCGGGGCAGCGGGCTAAACCCCCCACCTGCCCTGCTGCCCCTCAGGCCTGGGCACCTGCACCACTGACTTGAATCCTCCCAGCTAACTGTAAAGGGAGGCGGCGCGGTTAGGATACCCCCAGACCCAGCCGACCCTCCACAACCAGAGGCAGCCGCAGGAAATGGCTACTGAAAAGTCTCTTCTCCTTTGGGAAAGGTCCGAGCCGTGTCTCCACCACCCCGTCCCTGACCCACCACAGGCCAGACGAGGGCCACCGGCACCCGCCCTCCACCTGGCCTCGCGGGAACAGACTGAGATCCCAGGGCCCCAGTCACCTTCCACGAAGCACGGGAGAGCCTGCTGGCGTCCCAAGACAGACACGTCATCACAGTAACTTGGATCCCTTGAAAGACCTGGGTTATGTGACAAGCTTTTGGGCTCGCTTCCTCATTCAGGCAAAAATAAATTTTAAAAAGTTCTCTCACAAATATTAACAAAAACACAGGCCAGGCGCGGCAGCTCAAGCCTGTAATCCCAGCACTCTGGGAAGCTGAGGCAGGAGGATCACCTGAGGTCAGGAGTTCGAGACCAGCCTGAATAAGAGTGAGACCCTGTCTCTACTAAAAATAGAAAAAAATCAGTCAGGCAACTAAAACTGGAAACAAAAAACTAGCTGGATAAGGAGGTGAGCTCCTATAGTCCCAACTACCTGGGAGGCTGAGGCAGGAGGATCACTTGAGCTCAGGAGTTTGAGGTTGCTGTGAGCTAGGCTGACGCCACGGCACTCTAGCCCAGGCGACAGAGCAAGGCTCCATCTCAAAAAGAAAAAAAATAAAGACAAAATGAGCAACACTTATTGACTCTGAAGCTGTGAGCAGCTATCTCAGGAATCGTCTACTCGAATCATCTATTTAACTGTGTCTGCTGGGGAGCGGGCGCAGGGCTTCCAGGTGTGCACAGGCAAAGGCGGCCACGCCGGGCGCCACAGCGGTCTCCCAGAGGGCCATGTGCCCTGCCTTCTCAGCTTCCTGAGGCCAACGTGAAAGCCACACTACAGAAAGGGATCTGGGCTGGTCTTCTTGAATGTTTCCCAGCCGGCACAGTGAGTGCTGACGGGTTTTCCCACGTCCCACGGAGAACTCTGAAGAAACTACGTGTAGCAATATGTAGATTCCAGCAGGGCAGATGGAACCCGGCTCCGAAGGACATGGACAGAGGTGGTCTGGAACCAACCTAGCGGCCTGCTGACAGCGACCTGCAGGCGCTGGGGCTGGCCTTCCCGCCCCCGCAGGGAGCCACACTGCAGGGGTCGCACCTGAGCAGGGCCTCATCTCAGCGCCACGCCACCCTCAGGGCCCAGGACCACCTGGCCCAGCGCACGCAGTGCAGAGCTCAGGCCATGTCACTCCCCACCCCCCCAGCGCAGCACACGGGACTTCCGAGCCTCCTCCACCTGGCCCTGCCTACGCCTCCCCACGCCCCTCCCTAGGAGCACGCGTGGGCAGCTGACACCCTTCCTGGGGTTCCTGCCAAGTCTCAGGCCTTCCCCAGCGACAGAGCCAGAACGAGTTCTACAGAAGCCACGGCCACGTGGAACACAGCAGCCTGAGAGACGCAAGAGCAGGCGCTGAGAAGAGCTGAGATCTGGCAAGAGCCTGCAGCAGAGGGGCCTTCCTGGTCTGGCGTTGGCGCCCCTCAACCCCATTGCCTTTAGCCTGTGTTTCCATCACCTATGACTAAGAACATGCCAACCAAGGCACCTGGAAAAAGAAAGCTGCACACATGAAAATGCAAAACCAAATCAAATAGCTGGGGTCACAGGACCACAGTGTCCAAGGAGAGGCACCCTGTGGCCCTGAGGTACAGCCCTGTGGCCACGGGAGCACCCCTGCCTCTGCCAGAATCCCACAAGACGTTCACGGTCCCGTGTGCAGAAAGCACTGAGGGAAGCAGGAAGTTCTGACCCTCCAGCAGCCCAGCGTGCACTGCCCTGTCGGGCAGGAGCACGTGGCCGCCTCGCCCACCAGGCCCGCCTGTGGCCCTCGGGCTGCACGCCCTCCACTTCCCACAGCACTGCGTCTGCGACAGCCCTCTGTAAACTCCTGGCTCGAGCCTGCGTCTGTGAGAAGCTCTTTGATCTTTCTGAGCCTCAACACCCTCATCTGCAAAAACGGGAAAAGCCAACTGCCTTCCAGGGCCTCGTGGTGGCGTGATGCCTTCCGACCTCACTGGCGGGGCCTGAGGTTGGACAGCCCCTGGGGGAGGGCAACATCCTCAGCTCCTCCTCCTCCTCGGGCCCCTCTGCCTCACCCTCCACACGACCTGCGGGTCCCCCAGGACGGGCAAGGACGCAGGGGAAGCTCAGGCAGCCGTGGGGTCACGATGTAACCACCCACACCCTCCCCTGAAACCACATGTAATGATTATTTACTTTCCATTTCCTCTTTGAGGTGGCTTTCTCTTCCAGGAAAAAACGCAGTGGCCAGCTAACACACTCATGCCAGTCGACTCTGCAGCAAAGTATCTGTCTGTGTCACTTTGATTCTCTCCCTGACATGACGGAACCAGGCAGGACACGGCCACCCTGCCCCACATCTGCCCCTGCCAGGCGCGGGGAGCGACTGTGCTCCACACCCTCACGCGGCCCCTGGAGTGAGTCCCCCGAACCCTCCACCCCTGGTCTGTGAGGTGGGGTGGCCGTCGGGCCCGGCCCATGCAGCAGTCATGGAGGCCGGGGAGGCTGCAGGCTGGAGCCTGGTGGGGACCACGGGACTCCCCACCACTGCCCTGAACCTGGCAGAGACAGGGACACCGGGTGGGAGCCGCCGCCTGCTCAGGCTGTCTCCAGGAGACACGGGCCCCGGTTCTGCGCCTGTGCGGCGCCCCTGCCCCTAACCAGGCCGGCACACGGGGCTGGAGGAGACGCCTCGTCACAGGACGGGCCAGAGGGTGTCGCACTCCCCCAGCCCAGGAAGGGAGACGCCTCACGCTCTGCACAGCACCTGCAGGCCCCATGCACCCACGTCCCAGACGTGCAGCCACAGCCACAGCAGTGGCTATGCAGCTTCTCCTCGGCATCCTGAGATCACACCGGGTTGCTCCCACAGCGGCTGTTTCAAAAAGGCCGTTTGGTGGGTGAGGGTGGAATGGAATTCGAGAGCACTCACCAAATGCTGGTCGTTGAGGAGGTGAACCACCCGGGACGTCCAGTCGCCCATGGGAACGAGATCGGGGGATGTTCTGTACAAGCGCAGCAAGCACAGGGCGGCGCTCTGCTTCACGCTGTCCATGGTGTCTCTGAAAGACAGAATCGCCTCACTGAGGACAAGTGGCCCCGCGTGGCCCCGACAAGTCAAGTACAGGACGGCTGCACAGACCTCACGCAGTCACCAGGAGTCCAGGGCCTGGGCGGGTCTGGCATGGCGGCCAGGAAGGCGGGAACAACAGTCATGCCCCTCCTCCCGCCAAGGGTCTGCTCTGAAGGGCAGCACCAGAGCTTGCGGCAGGTGGCAGAGTCCTGCCGCAGAAGGTTGCGTCGTCAGCGGTCCCACCTCCAAGGACAGCAACCGTGACATTTCTCTGGCTGGGCAGGCTGGCCACATTCAACTAATGTTCATGGTTAATTGTTTCAACTACAGCACTTTCCTTACAATTTACGTGATAACTGACAACCGCAACAGAAAAGCATCAGAGGGCCTCGCTACCACGGAATTCCCTTGCCCCTTTGGTGATTTCCTCTCTTGCCTCCCAAGCGACTGGCAGGCCCCCTCCCTGCCCCACCCCAGCTTCCCTTCACCCTGAGCGAGCAGAGGTGGGAGGTCTAGGAGCAGCTCGGCGTGGAGGGCGCCAGCACTAAGCCTGATGCATTCCCAAGAGTAACAAACTGGGAGTGGTGAGAAAAACCTGTTACACGTACTCTCAGCACCACAGACACCTCCCAAGCCTCACTCAGCCCCTCAGTCACACAGCATGACAGCCCTGGCCCGGTCGGTCTCAAAAGGGATGACTTCTGGGCCAGAGAGCCAGTGCCCAGACGCCGGAGGTTTCCTGCTCTCCCAGAGAGCACCTGGTCAGGGCAGAACCAAGGCCACAGGGAGGCTCCTCAGCATCCGGCCAGCCTGTGGGGGGCACATGTGGTGTCTCTCTCCTCCCTGCCCCAGCCAGGGCTGCTAAGCAGCTGGGATGGCAACAAGCCGGCCAGAAACTCCCAGCAGCAGTCGAAACACACCTGGAGAACCAGCCAGTGTCCTCAACGCAATTCACACAATCACAGGAACAGATGCTCCGCAGGAAGGAAGGAGGGTTTGGGGGGCATCTTTCCATTTACCCCTCGCCTTTCAGCGTCTTTATTCCTCAGTGAGACCAAACCAACCTGAGAAACCCCTCAACCTACCCTACACTACTGCAAAAAGAAATTACTTTCTGGGAGGTCGAGGCAGGCGGATCGCTTGAGGTCAGGAGTTCAAAACCAGCCTGAGCCAAGAGCGAGACCTCGTCTCTACTAAAAATAGAAAGAAATTAATTGACCAACTAAAAAAAAGTATATATATATATAAAAATTAGCCGGGCATGGTGGCACATGCCTGTAGTCCCAGCTACTTGGGAGGCTGAGGCAGGAGGATCGCTTGAGCCCAGGAGTCTGAGGTTGCTGTGAGCTGGGCTGATGCCACGCCACTCACTCTAGCCTGGGCAACAGAGTGAGACTCTGTCTCAAAAAAAAAGAAAAATTAGTTTGAGTGAAAACTTCTCTTGGATGCAAACACCCCTGGGGAAGAGAGGGTCCCTCTGCCAGTCCTCACCCCGTACTCAGATCAGCTCACGGTAGGAACCAGGCATCCACGCTGGTGGGTGGTCGAGGCCACGTCAGGGTCTGTGCAGGGCACGGCTGGGCCATCACCACCAGACGTCCTGGGCCTCCCCAGGACTGTGCAACACCTGATCCTCCTTCAACAGACGCTGTGGCTCAAAGTAGCCAGCTTGGTTCCACGCTCACAGCCACGAATGCCAGCTCATGAGGGAGGGTCACCGGCCTCCCACTCCCACACGGATGTCCACAGAGACGCCTCCAGGCAAGAACACAAGGGGAGGAGGACTGGGGCACCACCACCCGCCCTGCTTGGCCAGCGTCTCCTGCTGCTCCACCACACGCTTCCACGTGTCCAACATCGCCACTCGGGCTGTGGCCTGTTGTCCCACTTGGCCGAGTGTCCCGGAAGGGCAGACAGAGGGCCCGTTGGATGGCCCAAACTGCTCTAAACTCTTCCAGTACTGGCGGCTCAGCCCCACTGGGCCTCTCTCCAAATGAGGGGTCAGTCAGCCAAGAATTCTCTGGAGTCTGCTGCTTGGCCTCTTCCTCAGTTACGCTTTTGTGACAGAGCAAGACACAAAGCACCGTTCCCTCAGCACCCAGCGAGCCCAGAGCCCTTTCTCAGCGTGGTTGTGGTTGGCGTGGTTGTGGCTGGCAGGGTCTGGGCAGGGCTGGGCTTTCTCCCTTGACCTCTTTTTATTTATTTATTTTTATTTTAGCGTATTATGGGGTACAAGTGATAAGGTTACATATATTGCCCATGCTCCCCTGCCCCCTCAAGTAAGAGCTTTAAGCGTGTCCATCCCCCAAACACTGCACAACCACTCGTTGTGGTTGTATATACCCATCCCCTCCTCCCCCCTCCCACCCCCCGATAAATGTTACTCCTATGTGTCCACTTAGGTGTTGATCCGTTAATACCAGTTTGCTGGTGAGTACATGTGGTGCTTGTTTTTCCATTCTTGAGATACTTCACTTAGTAGAATGGGTTCCAGCTCTATCCAGGAATATACAAGAGGTGCTATATCACCATTGTTTCTTAGAGCTGAGTAGTACTCCATGCCTTGACCTCTTTTTAAATCTCCGCAGTGCTGGGGAGGACGCGTCTGACTGGACTCACCTAAGATCTAAACCTGTAACTCCTGGTGCAGCCTTAGGCTGTAGCACATCACCACCACGTGAGAGGGGGAGCGAGCACAATACCGGGCAGACTGAGGACGTACATACTTGATTGTATTTAACACAAGAGGCCAGATACATACCCGGCTACGAGGATTTTAGGAACCTCCCCGGCAAAGGCCTCGGCCATCTCCCGGCTGCCCACGTTGGCGATGCAGTGCAGGGCCAGGCCCATGAAGGTGGGGTTCCGGCTGGCCAGGTCGTTCTTGATGGCGTTGTTGATCAGGCGGATCAGCTCGCTGTTGGAGTTCACCAGCACGGAGATGAAAAGGTAGCCCTGTGTTCCAAGAAGACAAGACAACAAACACAGTGCTCACGACTGTGGCCTAGAAACCTGGCACAAAACGATGCCCGGACGCTGAGCCTTCGGCAAGCCCCCGCCCACGCACGCGGAGATGGGCGAGGCACAGAGGGCTGTCTCCACCTCGAGCAGAGCACAGTGCTAGCGCAGAGCTGCGGGGTGTCTGGGCTCCCGATCCCACTGTGGGACCACTTTCCAACTCGGCGAAGCTCCCCAGGATGCCGCTAGCCAGACGCCAACAGGAACCAGACCCTCGGGCCTCCCCCAAGTCCCCTCACTCGGCTGCAAGCCCTGCGGCTGAATGTGCTGAACATCACACTCCCTTCAACTCGGGGTGGGAAGGAGTAACCTCACTGAGAGGCTGGTTTCAACTGCACTGACCTCCAGAACCCCACTGACTGCTACCACCCCTCCTGAATCTGCCGTGTCCCATGTCACCCCCACCAACAGGCTGAACCCCAGTCCTGGGTCAGCACCAGCTCCTACAGCCATGCGCGTGGGCCACGGCCTCGCTGGCTAGGAGGGCACAGTGACTGATCACTCACCACGCAGATCACAGGTGAACCCAGCTTCCTTCCCGTGGCTCTGGGAGGACGGCCCCACGAGGGAGCCCCCTGCAGCTGCCACCACCCTTTCGGCTCTGCCGGGCGCTCCCGGCTCTGCTAACCCCGCTCCGCCCACCCTCAGACTCTCTCGGCACGTCTGACACCTCCCCAGGGTCCCTTCCAGGGCGCTGGCCACAGCTGCGACCCTTCCCGTGGGGCCAAGCAGGGAGGGCCTGACTCCCCACAGACCAGGGCCCAAGTCCCCAAGCCCCCTCCCCCCTACCACCTGGCACACAGCAGACACTCCGTACGTTTTGTTGAACAAAGTCCAACACTCGACAAAAATCCTGAGATACCTGGACTATCTTAATATCTGTAAGTTGAATTTTTTGACAAATGGAGGAAAATGTTACTTTATAACACTGGGGAAAACATGAAAATAATGTTCCCACAAGAGAATGCAGAGCTAAAACCGCAAAGTCTGAGGCGGCTTCAGAAGGGGGGGCCACCTGGGACCGTGCGCCGCTCTGCGAGAGGGCCGGGGAGGCAGAGGGCACGCCCTCCGCGTGCCGACTCCGCGCCTGCTTCAGAAACGAGCCTGCGCGGGGCCACGGACGAACCTGGCCGTGACAGCACAGCAAGGCGGCACGGCGGCCAGGGACGCCGGCCCGTCTCCCACGGCTGGGCGCAGGACACAGTGCAGCGCGATCACCCGGGCTCCGGGCCTCCTGCAGCCCCAGTGGACACCGGCAGGGAGATCCCCGGGCTGGTCGGAAGCGGGCGGCACAGAGAGCAGCCCACCAGGCGCTCCCCAGGTGCTGCCTCGGGGCTGACACACGTCCCCAGCCGCACCAGACCACGTGGCTTGTGCCAGACGTGGCGGGAGAGGCGGCGGCGTCCAGGCCAGCGCATGTCTGACACAGCCGGGCTCACGCCGCCATCCCACGCGCCTCCGAGACACTCACGATCTGCTTCTCCGTGTATCTGTTGGAGCTCAGCAGGTTCACGGCCTCCATGTGTCCAAAGTCGATGTCGTGGCCAAGCAGGAAGATGAAGAGCAACTTGCAGACGTATTTTTTTTTGCTATAGCCATCAAGAGCCTTGTCACCTAAAGAAAAGGCGGGGAAAGGTTTTATTCCAGGTGGCAGATGCGAGGGGAACTGGGAATTCAGCAGCAGGAAAAAGGAAGCGCGCGAACGAACCTTTGAGCGGCCGCACCCAGGTGCGGCGCGGACACTGCTGAGCGTGAATGATGTTGCTAACGGTGGTGCACATCAGGACACAGACTTTTGGCTTCCCTTTTAAAAACAGAAGCCAGGAGACCAGGTTGCAAGAGTTCTGCCTTCCAGGACAGCCCTGGGCAGGCTCGGCTCAGCCAGGCCCTCCTTAAGCCTTGCTCCGGCCACAACCCCCCAAAGGACCCCGCCGCGATGGAATTTGCAAGCCTTGCCCGAAACCATCACCTTAATCTTTCAAGTAAGTTTATTAATTTAGGCAGATGAACATACTCTAAATTACCTTCCATTTCACAACGGTTTAGGACAAATCACCTGGTCGTAAAAACAAGGTCTCACACATGCCTGGAAAGGACTTCTTTCCTTTACCTGCATCACGGCATGTGTGGACGCCTCACCAGCGATAACGGCAAGGCAGATTTAAAACATGTAACTGGCAGAATAAGATTCCACTTGATAAAAGGACCACTCATAAAACAGCAACTCAAAGTACTGTTTAAAAAGAAAAGGACCATTCAGCATTGCCGCTTCAAATATCAAAAGTTCTTTTTTCACCTAAGAAGGACAGCCAGACTATGGGTGAAAACAGGAAAAGAGACTTTGGTGTGCTTTTTTTGTTTTTTTTTGTTTAAAGAGACAGGGTCTCCGAGGCTGCAGTGCAGTGGCACAATCATAGCTCACCACACCCTCCACCTCCTGGGCTCAAGCGATCCTCCCACCTCGGCCTCCCAAAGCGCTGGGGTCACAGGTGTGAGCCGGCATGGCGGGACGAAAGGTGGCCTTGTGATGGGCCGGGTCTCACCGAGACACTGCTGCCACAGCATGAAGGGTGCGTGTGGCCTACAGGGACAGGGCCTGGGAAGAGAACATGAGCAGTGCTCAGCCGCTCTGGCCCCACTTGGGAAAGGATGATGCACTGACACCTCCAAGAACAGGCGACGGCCAACCTTGTGGGCTTGTTCAGAACAAAAGCACGTCTGTCCCCACACTTCCCAGAGTGATGGTGCATCACATGCTCTGACTCCAGAAATCACCGAGATGTGGACCTTTGTGCCAGGTGTAAGCGCTTGCCTTACAGCACCAAACACACCCTCCCTGCGCTCTGGCCCTGGGCGGAGCCCTAGCGCCACCCTCCTCCCCACCTGCCACGCAGAGGGCGCTGGAGGGACACGGCTGGAGGCGGGGAGAGTCGCACTGCCTTGGCTGGGCTGTGACTTTCCCATGACCCTCTCAACACCACCCCAGCGCCCAGAGGGCCTGCTGCCCACACCGGCACCCAGGTTCTCTCTGCAGCCACCACGTGACTTGCCAGGGCACAAGGTTCCCCACCTCCCGCCGCCGTCACTCCCACAAGGGCCTGCTTGGGCGTGGCCAAGCCCACCAACCACTTGGCTCTGGGGACTGAGCCCCCCTCTCTCCACACAGGTCAAGCTCCGGCCCTGGCGAAGGGCCCCTCCAAATCTGCCCTACCCCGGGCGCTGTATATAATCTCCTTCTATTTTAGAGTCGTTCTTTTATCAGAGCTTAATAATTACTGACGACAAAGGCCCCTCTTTGGCTCACCATGAGGGCTCACTCTCCTGAAAGGACCCAGACTGACAGTCTTCAAAATGCTGCTTTCACTACTGGGCTAGATTTGATTTTTGATTCCAGTAATTTCAAAACGTTAGGCTGAACTTTAATTTTCTGAGCTGTGAGATAAGAGGATAACAGCGACACCGACCTCCCTGGCTTCTGCAGATCAAAGGAGAGAGGGTGGACACCTCACCCCAAGCCACAAGTGCGTGGGGACTAGGGTGGGACTCGGTCTGAGGGCTCAGCCACTCTCTAGTCCTGTGATCTCAGGCACCCCTCTGAGCCCCAACTTCCTCGACAGGCCGTTACAAAACTGCAACAGGACTTTGCACACAGAGCTTAGCAGTGTCTGGGATGAGCACCATGCTTCACTGACTCGTGAACTGCTTACTGATGTCGCAGATGTTAAAATGTGAAAAAAAAGTCTATCTCGGAATGACTGAAACTAGTAAATTTTTTACCACAAAATATCAAGCAGGAGGAGACAGGGTGTCACACAGCACCCAGACACCCCTCGTCCCAAGGGGCCAGGAAAGGGGGCAGTGCCCTCAGCAGCGCCAGGCCCTGCCCCCAGGCCGTGGGGCCCAACCCTCAAGGGAGGGCGAGGCGGGGGCTCTGTCCCTGTCACCACCGCTGCACCCAGCCCTGCCCCAGTGCCTGGCACGGGCAGTTGCTCGATTGGTTTATGTTGGTTACATAAATGAATGAATAACCAAATAAACTATAAACTGAAAAACAGGGCTGCCCAAGGAAATGAAAAAATAAAATTAAGTTTTTACATTAATAATTCAATAATTTATTTATAAAAGTTAATTATAAATATATAATTTAATTATGTTAAATTAGGAATAAAATACTTTAAGTGTTCTCATCACAAAAAGAGTATGTGAAGTAATGCATATGTTAGCTTGACTTGGCCATTTCACACCATATCCATATATCAAAACATGTTATGCACATAAATATATACAATTTTTACTTGTCAATTAAAAAAAGATTTAAAGCATTTTTCTTAATCTAAGAATAATAGGCCAGGCACGGTGGCTCACAGGTGTAATCCTACCACTCTGGGAGTCCAAGGCTGGAGGATCACTTCAGGTCAGGAGTTTGAGACCAGCCTGAGCAAGAGCAAGACCCCATCTCTACTAAAAATAGAAAAATTAGCCAGGCATGGTGGCACATGCCTGTAATCCCAGCTACTCCAGCTACTTGGGAGGCTGAGGCAGGAGGATGGCTTACGCCCAGAAGTGTGAGGCTACAGAGAGCTGTGATGATGCCACGGCACTCTGCCCCAGACAACAGAGCAAGACTCCATCTTTAAAAAAAAAAAACCAAACACTTTGGTATTAAGTCAATGAGTCTTCAGTGATAGATAAATGATGAAATTTAAACAAAATCCAACTGAAATGCTTTGAGGTGTTTTCAAGCATTAGTATGTACTACCACTGCCTTTAAGCCATTATTATTTTAAAACCTGTGTCAGCCTCCACAGATTTTACTGATTTGCAGGTGGACCATCTTCTGCACTGGAATTTTAATGATTGCTTCTCTAAAACAAGTAGACAGATTTCTTAAATTTTCCCTATTAAGAAAATCTACCAGCCAGGCGTGGTGGCTCACACCTGTAATCCTAGCAATCTGGGAGGCTGAGGCAGGAGGATCACTCAAGGTCAGGATTTGAGACCATCCTGAGCAAGAGCGAGACCCCAGTCTCTATTGAAAATAGAAAGATTGACTTTTCCCTGGAATTTAAAAAAAAAATAAAAAAAAAAAAAGAAAATAGAAAGAAATCAGCCAGACAACTAAAAATATATAGAAAAAATCAGCCGGGCATGGTGGGACCTCCTGTAGTCCCAGCTACTCGGGAGCTGAGGCAGGAGATTGCTTGAGCCATAAGTCACAGGTTGCTGTGAGCTAGGCTGACGCCACGGCACTCTAGCCAGGGTGACAGAGTGAGACTCTGTCTCAAAAAAAAAAAAAAAAGAAAAAGAAAAAAGAAAATCTACCTTAAGTAAATTTATTAAATAGTTTTAAAGAAGTTTGATATCTGGCTACTTCTCACTGTAAATAAATGAGAAACAAACTTCTACGGGTAGGGATAACTAGTTAATCCCTTCAAAAGTAACACCATACACCCTAAAACATTCAAAAGCGAACGTCGTGACGTCTGGACGTGCTCTAGAACACTCTGGGTGGGCCGGGCAGACAGAGCAGGCCGGCGCGCCATGCGGAAGCGCCTTACGCTCCTGCCCCCTCCGCTGTGTGGCCTCGAAATGTCCGTGCGATTTAACAAAAAATGAGGCTGGGGCTTCTACCCTGTTGGCCAACTTTCTTAAAAGAGAACGTGTCCCAGAGTGAGCGCGACGCCTGAATGCACGCGGACTGCCGTCAGCACAGAGGCCGCTGGGGCGGCTCAGCGTGTTCAGGACTCGGCCGCGGGGTGGTCACCGGCTCACTCAAAGGCTCAAGGACAAACACGGTCCCAGGTGGCCACCCTCGCAGGGCCAGAGTCTGACCGGCACCCGTGGTGTGACCGCAGCGTGTCCACTGCCTCGTGCGCACCTAAGCACAGCCTCCTCACAGCCGCACGCCCTGCCAGCGAAGCCACAGGCCCCGGGCAGAATGCTCTGGAGCGTGGCCGTCAGCCGCCACGACGCAGAGCATCCGACCTGCAGGCAACATCTTCTGAAGGCCTAAAACGCTTTTTATCAACTTCTGTCTGGACCTTACATGTTAACACAATATAAGGCTCATGCTGGCTATTTTAACAAGACTGATTTCATATGTTCCTTGCCTGTATAAAACTGCCCTTTTAAAGTTTTTTGTATATAGTGCGTGGGATAGAATTTTTTTTAAAAAAAGGCCAAAAAACACAAGTTTTGTGTTTCACTGCCTTCTCTACTTAGACTCCGAGGAACACGAAATAACTAACCCACTGCTCATTCTCAAGCTAGGTCTCAGTCAACACACACAAAAATAAGGTGCCTTCAGTGTTCTTAGACATCCCACCAAAAGCCAGGCAACAAAAGAAAAAGTAAACTGGACTTAAAATTTAAAATTGTTATGCAACAAAGACAACTACAACAGTGAAAAGGGAACCCACAGGGCAGGAAAGTGTGCAAATCATATATCTGATAAGGGGTTAGTATCTAGAATATACAGAAATCCTAAAACTTAACAGCAAAAAAAACAAGCAACCCAATTAAAATGGGCAAAGGGTTTCAATAGACCATTTCTCCAACAAAGACATACAAGTGGGCAGTGTCACATGGAAAGCGCGCCAGCATCACTCGTTGTC